GAGATATTCTGCTAAATCGTTTGGTTTCTGTGGACCATGGTTTCACTATCAGTAAACTGAATTTTTATCTGGGGATTGGAGGGTGTAACCAATCAAGAATTGTAAAGCCGTCTGCAACTATGAAATGTCACTGAAATGCTTAATAATAACAGAACTCCCCTGGCATCAGGATGCCATTAGAACTAAGAGGCAGATGCTTTCCTGGTGCTTGAAAGATGAAAAGCTCAGTGTAGGCACTGGGCCTTACTATGGACCATCATGACAAAAGGCAGGTAGCAGGCACAATGAACATGAATCATACAGCTGCACAGAGGCAGGCAAACTGAAACTGTGTATTTAAGAAGAAAAAATGGTGAAATATATAAAAATGGAAAAAGGTTGTTCATATTTCCCTCCAACCTCAGGGGACTACAGCAGGTATATGATCATTTAGGTTTCAGTTGTCAACTTTTCTTCCTGGATTTGTAGTACAGAATCATGAAAGACTAGATTACAGCTGGAAGAGTCCTTCAATAACACTGATTTCATGATTTCAAATTACTTATTTCATACATGATGAACATGAGTTCCAGAGAAGTTACATGACTTAGCCAAGGGTCCAGAGCTGGCATAAGACGTCTACTCTAGTCTGTTTTTCCCACATCAAAATGCTTCCATATCCTTACTAGTATAATGTATCTGTGAGCTTCCCACAGAGCTATATTTGCCCAAAGGGGCAGAGGGCCCCTTCTCAGGGGGCTTTATCTGAATGTATTTATGCAGCTGTGGTTACCAGGTACACCAGAGGGAGGTTGGGCTCTAAATGAGGTGTCTCCAAGGAGATGGGTCTCTAGGGTCAGTTCTCTAGAGAAGCAGGAATTACCAGCCCCTTGGGATCCTCCTGCTTCTCTGGTACAAGCACTTCTGGAAGCAGGCACACAGCAGGGGTGGCTTATCAAGCCTGCTCCTGTGGCAACATGCTCTTTAGTAACCTCTAGGGTGAGAAAGTGAGACAAGGGAGTTTCAGAGCAGTCCAAAACTTCTACCCTCCACTGCTTAGGAGACAAAAGTAGGTAAGAAAATAGCACATCGAATCCGGCCACTGCACTCCAGCTGGGGCAACAGAGCCAGACTCCGTCCCCAAAAAAAAAAAAAAAAGAAAAAAAAAGAAAATAGCACATCGAGTATTGCCCCATTTTGAATGAAAAAATTATACAAAAACTTGTTTTAAACTTTTGGGGTTATGAGTCCCTTTGAGAATCTGAAAAAGCCTTTTCCCCCTACCTCCCCCAAAAAACATATCTGACATACATTTCAAGGAGTCCATGGACCACTTCCCATTCATGGACTTGTAAGGTATCCCATCACATAACCAAAAATATACCAACTGTGGTTATGTCTAGGTGGTAAAATCCTAGAAGACTTTTTTTAAATTCTTTTTTTTTTTTTTTTTTTATTTTCTTTTTTTTTTTGAGACGGAGTCTCGCTCTGTCGCCCAGGCTGGAGTGCAGTGGCCGGATCTCAGCTCACTGCAAGCTCCGCCTCCCGGGTTCCCGCCATTCTCCTGCCTCAGCCTCCGGAGTACCTGGGACTACAGGCGCCCGCCACCTCGCCCGGCTAGTTTTTGTATTTTTTAGTAGAGACGGGGTTTCACCGTGTTAGCCAGGATGGTCTCGATCTCCTGACCTTGTGATCCGCCCGTCTCGGCCTCCCAAAGTGCTGGGATTACAGGCTTGAGCCACCGCGCCCGGCCTTTTTTGTATTTTCAATACACCTTTTTGACTGTTTTGTTTAGCGTAATCAGAAAAAAATAGTGTTACATAAAAACTGAATCTTGAAACAAAAGTACACACCCCAAAGGCTATCTTCCAAGCATCCCACAGGCCTTTACAAGCCCAGACATGCCGAACTCAGGTGAAAGAAACGTTTTTACATTATTGATCCTAATACTGTTAGTATCTTATTTTTAAAATTTTTATTATTTATTTTTGAAGAGACAGGGGTTGAGGAGTTGTCTCATTATGTTGCCCAGGCTGTTCTTGAACTCCTGGCCTCAAGCAATCCTCCCACCTTGGCCTCCCAAGCAGCTGGGACTGCAGGTGTGCACCACCACACCTAGCTTGTGTATTAGATTTGGCATATTTGAACTTAGATCTGAGATACTTTAACTAAAGAACTCAAAGGAAAATTCCAAATCTATAAATCTGATAATTTTAGGTACCTTCACAGGTATTCTCCCAACTGAATATGTCTGAAGAAAATGTTCCATTAACTGTCTCAGTTAGTTGAAAATCTCTTTCTCTCATGCTTACCCCTTAATCCTTTTAGACCTCTGATGGCTATTTATCTAGCACTACAACTGCATTTCCCTAAGTGTCAGTCTAAGCTAAAAGGGAACTCAATAAAGTTGCATTGTCCAGGAGGCAGATTAGACCCCAAGAGATCCCTTGCAGACTCTATCCCTGAAACACAGCTATGGAAGGCAGCTCCAAATGAAGAAACTACAGTATAAGTAAAACTGGGACAAATGGGTAATGTTTTCTCCTTAAAGAGTTCTAAGGACTGTATGGTACAAGACACAAGGAAGAATATGCCTCAGAAATCACTTTATTCCAAAGAAACTTATAGTGTTCCACCCTAGACAAGGCATTCCTGTGCTCTCATCTTCCAATGCAGGTCCTCAGCAGACACGAAAACACCAGGATCTGACTCTCACGAAAGAGCCCTGAGGCAGTTCTTTTTTTTTTTTGAGACAGAGTCTTGCTCTGTCGCCCAGGCTGGAGTACAGTGGCGCAATCTCAGCTCACTACAACCTCTGCCTCCTGGGTTCAAGCGATTCTTCTGCCTCAACCTCCTAAGTAGCTAGGACTACAGGCGCGCACCACCACACCTGGCTAATTTTTGTATTTTTAGTAGAGACGGGGTTTCACCATATTGGCCAGGCTGGTCTCGAACTCCTGACCTCGTGATCTGCCTGCCTCAGCTTCCCAAAGTGCTGGGATTACAGGTGTGAGCCACCGCACCGGCCTGGCAGTTCTACTAATACCTAAAGGGCTGACTTAAGCCCAAAAAGAATCAAGAGGAATGTCCTCCATCGTATCTTTTCTCTTACTGTTATTTATAACAAACAAAACAACGTCAATGAGGCCACAATGGCATAGTCACAGAAGTATCAGGAACAGGTGTTGACAGGATCAGCCAATAAGAGTTTCATAGACACTGTTCTGGAATTCCCTTTTCCTATGATGGGCTGTGAGTGGAAATGGAGGTGGGGGCTGAACGAGAAGAGTTGGGATGCTGCTGAGCTGAGGTCCTGGATCAACTCCCAGTTACTGAGCTGCCAGAAAAGCTGCTGCTGGCTCAGCCCAGGGAGGGGAGTCAGGCTGTAGGACTGCTTGCCTGCTGAGGGCAAGACTCCCATGGTGTTGTCCTCTGTCAGAGGGGCAGCCTGGCAGAGCAGAAAGGACATGTTCTTAGAGGCAGGCAACTGTAAGTTCAAATTCAAGCTCTGCCACTTGGTCGCTATGTGACTCAGAACAAATCAATCTTTCTTTCTCTCTCTCTCTCTCTCTCTCTCTCTCTTTCTTTCTTAAAAGAAACAAGGTCTCTCTATCTCTTTCTTTCTTTCTTTCTTAAAAGAAACAAGGTCTTGCCCTGTTGCTCAGGCTAGAGTGCAGTGCTGTGATCATAGCTCACTGTAGCCTCAACCTCCTGGGGTCACAGGATCTTCCCACCTCGGCCTCCCCAGTAGCTGGGAGTAAAGGTGTGTGCTACCATACCTGGCTAATTAACATTATTGTTTTGTAGAGTTGGAGTCTTGCCATGTTGTCCAGGCTTGTCTTGAACTCCTGGCCTCAAGCAATCCTCTGCCCTGGCCTTCCAAAACACTGGGATTACATGCGTAAGCCACTGTGCCAGCCAAATTCTTTAAACTCTTTCAGCCTCAGTTTCTTGATCTATAAAATGGAGATACCAATACCCACCTTGCAGGGTTATTATTTATTTAGTATGGAATGACTTATGGGGTAAGTGTTAGCAGGTGCTCATTAAATGGTAGGGCAATTTGTTGCCACTTGCCCCAGTCAAATCCATTTGTTACTCTACAGCCACAGTGATCTTTCCAAAGTATAAATCTAACTTCATAGTTCCCTACTTAAAACATTTCAATGACTGCCCTTTGCTTCTAAGATAAAGAGCAAACTGCTGAAAACCTATGAAGCCCCAGATTTCCTGGTCTTTGGTGAGCTCTCTCTCCCTTGCTCTCCTGTGCTCCTTCTTCGTGATCTCAGAACAATGTAATCCTTCCCTTCTTGAAGCCTTCATAGAGGTTGAAAGTCTCATCTTCCTAGATCCCATATACCTGGTTAACAACTTCTTATTGCTTCTTTAGGAAAACTTTTCTCAACCTCTAGACTAGAGCAGGTCTCCAGGCAATGCTCCCTTTGCCTGTCTTTCACAGTACTCAGGCCAGTTTGTAATTACATTCATAACAATCCATACTATGTCTTAGGCAGTAAGATCAAGAGGTAAAAACAGTGCCTTTTAAAAAAATTACCATTTAATCCCCAGAGCTCAATACCAAGCACAATGTCTGGCCCATTGTAGAAGCTTAAAACTTTTATTGAATAAAAGAATTGAAGTTCAGAGGAAAATTGGAAAGCATTAGCCTTTGATCTGCTTAGTAGTTATGTGCAACACTTAACCATGTTCTGGACAGCATGACACTTATTAATACATATCCTTTTCTTTCCTTAATTGATTTTTAGCTTTGTTGTATACAACTTTGAATGTCCAGTGCTTCTATAGGAGAGTGGGGCTCAGGGGAGACACTCCATGCTGGGTAAGTGGCATAGAACAAAAGGAACTGTTAAGTGGGCTGGACAGGAACATAGAAAAGGTAAACTCTACCTTGAAAGCAGCTGTGGTCTGAGATAAGTATTTTTCCTCCCCTAATCTTCTCAGGGACATTTACATTGACCTCTCTTTGTTGGGAGGCAAAGACTTCACATGGCAACACTTACTTGTTCCCAGGAAGAAATCATATGACGTTCAGCAGGAGGCTTTTCTATGATGGTCACCTCTGTCACACCTGGGGAAGATTCTGGAGGAGAAAAAAAGAGTCTGTAGAGTCGCAACTGGTCCACTGTCATACATTTCTATGTTAGATGTTGACTAACTATTGATGACTGCTCTAAGAACACCGAATCCTTCTCATAAACACTTATTACCTCTGTGATCAAAGCGGAGAACTGGTTGGCCTCTGAAAGGCATGGTCCCATAACCTAGGACAATGTAGTCTACCTGATAGAAAGGATATGCACAGACTGTGCTCTATACTGTCATTGCTCAGTCATTAATCTTATTGAACAAAAAAGAGAGATTGTAGATTCCTAGTGATTTCACACTGAAATTCTCAGTGAGCTAAATCTATATATTCAGGATAAAGTGAAAAGAAATGGAGAATAGCAACCCATTAACTTTTATAAGACATAAAACTTGCTTAACTTTTCTTCTAAATAAAACTCATCTTGGACATAACCTTCTACTCTATGAGGTCTAGGATTTCAAAGCTGGGTTAACAAAAAAAATAGATTCTATCCAAAAATATACTAAGTCAAAAAGTAAGTCATATTTCTAAATCCTTGAAGTAGGAAAAGGTCTCCAAATAATCTGGTCTGCTTCTCTTTGTAGAGCTGTGTTCTATCATTCACTCTGAGGGAGAGCAGAAGCCACCTTGGAATACTACAGAGTTCAATACCTCCAACAACATTCTCCATTTGTCTGTGGCCATGCAGACTCAAGATTCTGAAATCCTTAATCCAAGACTTAAAATTTGTCATAAAAGCTGTTATGACTTGAATTCTGTCCCCACCTGCACAAAAAAAGATATCGAAGTCCTAACCCCCAGTACCTCAGAATATGACCTTATTTGGAAATAAAGTTACTGCAGACATGATTAGTTTAGATGAGGTCATAGTGAAGTAGAGTAGACCCCTAATCCAGTCATTGGTGCCCTCATAAGCAGAACAACATGTAGCTAGGTGTGGCAGTGCATACATGTACTCCCAGCTACTTGGGAGGCTGACACAGGAAGGTAGCTTGAGTTTTTAAAATCTCTAGGACTATGATAGAGACTTCTAATCATTTTATGTGGTTCACTGATCCTATAATTAAGCCAGTGCCCTTTTCATGCATATAAAATTTCCTCCAAGTTGCCAGAAACTCAAATCTTGGGATGCAGCAATAGCCCAATATAAGAACTAAGAATTCTAGACTCTACCTATTCTAGTCTTGCTTTATACATTTACTAGTTGTATGACCTTAGGTGGGTCTTCACTTCCCTTCACCTTCAGCAAGTCACAAGAGACCTTAGGTTTGAAAGAGGACACATACAATTATTTACTGTTTATAACAGGCCTACATGGAAGGCTTATAGGTTCAGACAAAACTACTGTGATGCTACTGCAGATGGGGTCATATCATACTTAAGCTTGGAATACTCTCATGATAAGGTAATTGGCCAACACATTGACTTTAATGAATTTCAGATAATAAGTTGCTTAGGAAGTATCCATTGTAGAGACTCCTATATCCAATATAGTACTTCAGAATTGGTGAGGAGAAGGTATTGGGGATATGGAAGAGAAGGGCATGCAGTAAATTACGTTTGTATAATGCTCTGTTACAGGAAATTGGCATAAATTATCCCATTTAATCTTTCAACAATCTTGTGAAGCAGGTATCCTTACCCTCGTTTTAAAAGATAAGGAAACTGAGGTTCAAGGGTTTGAAATAATTCATAAAATGAAATATCTGACCAAAGTTGTGGACACCAAGCCTAATGCTGTTTTTATCATGTTGTCTTAGTAGCCTATCATTTTGGTGAGATAACTAAAAACATTTGCGGATGTATTGGAAAGCAACAGAAATTATACATTGTTCTTGGCCTATCAAGATGCCATATATGAGAAGCAATATCTGAATAGGCATAGCCATTCTCCCTGTCCTGCCTTTGTGACCAATGACAAGCATTTGTCAGCCGCCTGGCTGGAATAACCTGCATGGCAAGAGTAAGAGATATGAAACTCAGATCTTTAGACTCAGCACAGTCCACTCTAAGTAACTGTGTGATATGCCGTGGATTAAAACTCTCTGTGGTAGCTTACTCCAAAGGTGGGTGCTATCAATTCCTTCCTTCCCTGCATGCCCATAGCACTTCTCATTGACAAGTGAGTCTGTTTCTCCAACTTCTTGAGTTTGGAGTTGGCCTGAGAGTGCCTTGCCCTATAAAATATGGTGAAGAAATGGTGGGCCAGTTTTGGACTTAAAATTTAAGAGAACTGGCAGTTTCCCTTTGCCTTTCTTTGATTCCTGAGCCATCACATACTAAATCCAAGCTACTCTACTGGAGACAGAGGGCATACTGAGAAGTACTGAGCGGGGCAGACATTCGAGTGCAGAAGCCATTTGATGATTCCAGTCCCAGCTGCTATCTAACTGTGACCACTTGAGAGACCCCAAATGAGAACTACCCCAGCTGGTTCAGTCAATCCACAGAGCTGGCAGAGATAGTTAATTGTTGTTTCAAGCAAACTATGTTTTGGGATGATTTGTTATTCAGTTATTGATAACTGGAATATATTTTCCAGTGAAAAACAGTCTCTCTGAGGTATTTAATGAGGACCTGCTATGTCCTAAGCTTTGGGAAATTACTACCAGAGATTAGGAATTTAAGTAGGAGATACTGTTTGAAGAAACTTATTGCTTAGTTAGATAAATAAGGCAAACATGAAACAAAAGTGAAAACTCAAGATAATATGTAATTATGTGTTAAACTAGGTGATACTGACTGTCAGGGCCACAGGAGTTGAAGGCAGAGGGAGGTTGACAAAGACTGAACAAGTGATAGAAAACATCAGAAACTGCACACAGCTGATCTGGGCCTTGAAGGATGATGTGGCAGTTACTGCAGACCGGCTCAATTAACACCTCCTCCTGTTCCCCGCTGGCGTGCTTTCCTTTATTTTAGACTGGTTAGCTAAAGACCTCATTTCCTAGATTCCATTGCAGTTAGACTCCCTCTGGTGACTGGGATGCCTGCATGGAAACATACACTCATAAAGCCTGGAAGAAGGGAATCAGTAGATGAGGAAGAGAAAAAATGGGGAGATCAGGTCTTCTTGCAAGCATAGTTTCACAGGTGTTTTGGTCTCAGAGGGCCGGAAGTTGTAGCGGTGGCTGCGGCAGCAAAAGCAGTAACAGTTTTTGATTCTGCAGCTATCCTTCTGGGAGTCTGAAATTTTGAGAGCTGTGGCTGGTTGTTTTGCCAATGTGAACAGCATTCAATAAACCCCTGGAAGTTGAGGCTTAAACAGGCTTTCCAGGGAAGAAACACTGCATATATATTGTTGAATTTCACTATTTAAGAAGTGTATTCTATGTGACCACTGACAAGATGGAACACTTCAGAAGATTGTGCATGGATTCCTCTAGATTCTACCTATGTATTTTCCTCCTGCTAATCAATGTAATAAATTATACTTGGGATTAAAACTGTTTCTGAGTCCTGTGAGTCTTTGCAGTGGATCTGGTGGATCTAAATGTGTGGGTGGTTGTGGGATCCCAGAAACATGCATCCATCTTTTTATATTTAACATTTCTGATTGAGTTTGATTTAGGTATGTTTTTGAAAAAGCAAATAACTGGGTTTTGTGAGTCAGATTTAAATCTTTTTCTATTAGTAGGTGACATAAACCTATATGTACATACTTAAGAGACAGGGTCTTGCTGTCACCCAGGCTGGAGTGCTGTGATGTAATCATAGCTCACTTCAGCCTCGAACTTCTGGACTCAAGTGATCCTCCCATCTTAGCCTCCCAAGTAGCTGGGACTACAGGTGCACACCACCACACTGGGCTAATTTTAAATTTCTTTTTTTTTTTGTAGAGACAGGGGTCTCACTATGTTGCCCAGGCTTGTCTTGAACTCCTGGTCTCAAGTGATCTTCCCACCTTGGCCTCCTAAAGCACTGTGATTACAGGCATAAGCTGCCATGTCCAGCCATGACTATTTATATTTATTGTTATGACAGATATGTTTGGTCTAAACTCTATCATAATAGTTCATAATTATGTGTGCTGTATTACACTTGTGTTTCTTTCTGACGTGCGTATCATTTGCTCTTTTCTTTCAAACATTTAGGGGAACGTTTTCTATTGCTGAGTAATAAATTACCACGAATTAGCAGCTTTAAACAACACCCTTTTATTAAGTCATGGTTCTGTAGCTCACAAGTCTGGCATGGCATGACTGGATTCTCTGCTTAGGCTGAAATCACTGGTCTTTCTTTACACCAGGTGTGCTGACAGGTATTTTAACTGTTCTATTTTCATCTGGATCTTGGGGTCATCTTGGAAACTCATTTCTGTTATTGACAGAATTCAATTCCTTTTGGCTGCAGGACTGAAGTTTCTATTTCCTTGCTTGTTGTCAGCTGGGGCCACTCTCGGCTTGCAGAGGCCACCTGTATTTCTTGTTAAAAGGTCCCATCCATCTTCAAGTCAGCAACAGCCTAACAAATTCTTTTCCTGCCTCAAATCTCTTTGACTTCCCTGTTAACAGCTTGTTTTAAAGTGCTTATGTGATTAGATCGGGCCTACCTGGATAATCTTGCTTTTGCCATTTAATGTAACATAATTGAGGTGTGGTGTCTCATCATCTTCACAGTCCTGTGGATTAGAGTAGGAATTCTAATAGTACCATGTTTAGAATTCCTTTTTAAAAATAGTTTTACTGAGACATAATTCGCATACTATAATTCACCCTTATAAAGTGACTTTTATATTCAGAGTTATGCATCCTTTCCCCCAAAAGAAACCCATACCTATTATATTAGCAGTCCCCTTTCCTACCAGCCTCTGGCAACCACTAATCTACTTTCAGTTTCTATAGATTGGTCTACTCTGGACATTTCATATAAATGGAATCATACACGTGGCTTTTGCAACTGGCTTCTCTCACTTTGATTTCAAGATCATCCATGTTGCAGGATCAGTACTTCATTCCTTTTTATGGATAATTTTTTTTTTGTTATATGGATATATCACATTTTATATATCATCAATTGATGGACGTTGTTTTCACTTTTGACAATTATGAATAATGCAGCTATGAACATTTATATGCAAGTGTTTTCATGTAAATATCTTTTCATTTCTCTTGGAGAAATGAAATCCAGAAAAGGAATCAAAAAATGGAATTGCTGGGATATATGGTAACTCTAATCTTTTGAGGAAGTACCAGACTAGTTTTCAAAGCTGCTGTGCCATTTTACATTTTTACATCCCCACCAGCAGTGTATGATATCTCCATACCCTCACCAACAATTGCTGTATCTGTCTTTTTGACTACAACGATCTTAGTGGGTGTGAAGTGAAATCTCATTATGGTTTTGATTTGTATTTCCCTAATGGGCTAATGGTGATAATCATCTTTATGTGTGCTCACTGGCCATTTGTGTATCTTTGGAGAAATGTCTACCCTGATCCTTTAAAATTGAATTATTTGTCTTTCATTGAGTTGTAAGAGTTCTTTGCAGATCTGTAAGTCCCTTTTCATATATATGATTTACAAATATCCTCTCCTATTTTTTTGGATTGTTTTGTCACTGTCTTGACTATATCCTTAAAAGCACATTTTAAATTTTGATTAAGCCCAATTTATCTATTTTTCTTTTGTCGCTTATGCTTTTGTAACCTAAGGCCTGTTTTCTTCCAAGAGTCTTATGGTTTTGGCTGTTACATGTAGGTCTAAGATACTTTTGGAGTTAATTTTTGTACATCATTTGAGGTAGAGGTCCAATTTCATTACTTTACATGTGGAAATCTAGAACCATTTGTTGAAAAACTATTTTTTCCCATTGAGAAGTCTTAACATACTTGTCAAAAATCAATGAATCAGGCTGAGTGCAGTGGCTCACACCTGTAATCCTAGCACTTTGGGAGGCCACGGCAGGTGGATCATGAGGTCAGGAGATAGAGACCATCCTAGCTAACATGGTGAAACCCCGTCTCTACTAAAAATACAAAAAATTCGCCGGGCATGGTGGCAGGCACCTGGAGTCCCAGCTGCTCAGGAGGCTGAAGCAGGAGAATGGCCAGAACCCAGGAGGCAGAGCTTGCAGTAAGCCGAGATCATGCCACTGCACTCCAGCCTGGGCGACAGAGCGAGACTCCGTCTCAAAAAAAAAAAAATCAATGGCACATAAGACTGTGGAAACTGAAAATTAAGAACACCAAAAGAAATGAGAAGGCCCATACATGTTTATGGATGGAAGAGTTTAATATTGGTTAAATCTGTTACTCCCAAATTGATCTAACCAAATCTCCAGATCTGCAGTTCCCATCAAATCCTCCCAACTGTCCTGTTTTGTAAGGAAAATTGAAAGCTGATTTAATCCTAAAATATAATATAATAATGCAAGAGACACAGGGTAGCCAAGACAACTTTTTTCTTTCCCCAAACGGAAAAAAGTCCTCTTAACGCACATTTCCCTATAATATATTTGAAGATGAATGGAAAGTCGTGATGGTTTACAACAGTGGTGAATGTACTTTATGCCACTTAACGTACACTTAAAATTGACCAACCAAAAGTGAAAATGGATTTATGTATGTGTAATTTAAACTACATTTTTAAAAATTTTAAAGCACAGTCTGCCTTCAGAGTGGTTGTGGCATAAAAACCAGAAATCTGGATCAACTGAAATAAGACATTGAAAGTCCAAAAATAAACATCAATATATGATT